GCCCCCCCCCCCCCCTACAGAGATGATCGTGATCAACTATGTGAGATTAAATAGAGTTCCCTTGCGCGATCACAGTTCAATAATGAAATTAAACAGGATCATATTTCGTGGGGATATTGAGAAGACAGGTTCAGAGGGAAACAGTTGTTTTCAACGATTCATCTCGGCAGACGGTCACATGCGGAAGTGTGTAACAGGAAATCTTCCGGACAAGTCAAGAGGTCCCAATTTTCGGTTCGTATTAGGGAGGGATTCATCTTATCGCACTGTAGTGGCTAGCAAAATCTCGCCAACCCGGCTGTAATGCATCCGGTGAACTACTTCTCTGAGGACACCGTTGGTTGTACGCCGCTGACTGACGACATTGGTACAGACAGACCAAGTGAGCACTCAGGTATTTGTATTAAACCTTCTACTGTAGTTTTCTAAGTGAGAGGTCCAATGGGTCTGATAAAAATCGCTATTTGAATACTTACATTCATACTAATGGGTTTCTTTACAGTAAACATGCCTCAATACCGTTCACTCAAACATGTAGTAGCTAGAACTATGATCGTTACCAACATCAACAACAACAACAGCAAGGCTCTCGGTCATTTACCATAAAATAAAAACATAAGGGTTGTACCGTATTCACGGGGTGGAGTGGGGTGGGCGTAGCATACCAGACCAATATGAGACAATGTCATGTTAACTGGAACACACAAAAGCACAAGCATCTAAGGCCGAAAAAAGATGAGCAAAGCGTGTGAATGTTTACTGATGCCCGACAATGCAAAACCGGTGGATTAAACTGTCGGCACCTTTGACGGTTGAATTGAAAAGCGTCCACGGAACCTCTTTTCATCAATCGTCGCAGAGGTTGCCGTGAGGCACCTTTTACGAGCTGCATGAAACCCACTAACAACTGTTTCAAATTTATAGTTACATAAAATTAAGTATCAGTATTCTCCATTTACAGTGTTAGACATGCAACAATATATATGAATATGCGATAACGAAGGATAACACTAGTACTTTGGACAACTGAACTTCACAATGCAGAGGGTAAAACATTACATTAATTGGAAGATTAAATGGAAAAATGTGACATTTATTTCCGTTTGAACTTCCAATTGGACTGCTCCGCTTATTTATTGAACTTCTGGCATGACGGGCAGACAAGCAAGTTGGCTATCTTCCTTCCAGTCCCCAATATGGTAAGTCTGTAATTGTTTGAAATGCTAGCTTCGCTCACCGTGGACCACAGCCAGTGTTTACTTCAGGAAATTAGACGGCTGACACATACAGCACAGTCTTTATGGACTTTCTTCTCGCCTCGATTTTGGATAGATGGCAACGGTCCGCAAATGTTCAACCCGGCAATAATATCAACCATATATCTATATTTTTTCGCTTTACGAGCATGCCTGTTGTGTCCAAAAATCAAGAACAAATGAAATGTTCCAGTCGTCTTTTGAACCCAAGTAAAGATTTTTGGGTTCCGGGTGACACACATGCATGCAAATGAAAGTGTTCAGTTCCATCCACGTTTAACGGATGTGCATATTCCACTGAACGACAGAAATTTGAAATGGAAACCGTCAAAAATCTCATTTTTAGTATATAGCAGCATGGTGACTGGTGTTTAATCACTGTGTTGACTGTGAGGGACAAAGAGAGAGATGGTGATGAGAAGTGAATGATTATTGCAAATCTTATTCAAACTCTAGGTGCCTCATTCTGTTCCCGAAATAAATGTTTCCAAATTTTGAGAAGACGACAACAATCGCGACTAACGTTAGCGTTCTAATCCGCTGTCGAAGCTCATAGCTGTCGTGAGAAGCTAGTAATAGTTGGACAGGAAACCAATCTGAACACATTTCATATACGATTTGATAAATTTTCTCCTATCATAGCAAAAACATCTGGCGACTCATTTGGATGGCACTCAGTGAGTAAATCTTAGTTTCAATCGATGGTGTAATTTCGTAATAGTTTCTGCCGAGAGCTTGTTGTGGTTGAGAACTTATGACATATGTAATTTTTCATGGATATTAACGAATGAGTACGCTTTATTTGATGGGAGCTCTTTCGGTTAGTAGACAATAAACAGTTTATTAGAACCATGTCAGGTAGTTCTCCAGATACTCACCTTGATTTCGTAACGGCGTCCTGGTTGGAGATTTCGCAGCACATACCATCGTCCTAGTTCAGAAACGGCACTATTCGAATCCGGTGCAAATACGACTTGTTCCAAATACGACGGGGTCTCGCTTTCTCCCTCACCGATCACTCTCAAATTGTGTAGCACAGTGAACGGGGCATCTTTCAGACAGTTTGCTGTTTGACTTGGGGTGATGAATACACGTCGGTGACGAGNTCGTGACAATTTCATCCACTTTCACTGTTGTTTGACCTGGAAAGTGAAGATAAACAATACTTTTGATCGATATTGGTCCATCAACCTTGAACGATGTCAACGACTGAGTGAGACAGAAGAATACGCTTGTTGCTTGATATCGGTTATTTGGATTCCACTTTTTTATTCACGCATTTCACTTAAACTTTGAAAGAGCAGCAGGAAGAAAAGATAGCGACTCTCGGAATAAGCTGTGTGAATAGGATTTTCATGCGGACCGCATAATCGATGGCCGATCATAAAATGATCATACAAAAAAGCTATCACGTGCTCACATGGGCATATGTAAACCACCCGAATTGGTGGTAAACTCAGAACTATACAAATCAAAGTCGAATTGTTCCAACCAGTCGGTCATGGAATAGATGATCTAACTTGAAAACTATATATGAGAGTGCCGTCTGTCTGAACTGGTATAATATCCATTAGTCACCAAACCATGCTTTCCTGGTTCTGATCTTTTTGGCGCGCATTTAATAGTGGACGAGTGTGAGAGGTATCAGATACCAGTAGCACCAATGAGCTCGTAAATTGTCATTCCCTTTATAGTATATTCTACCTTTTCGTGTTTAGCTTTTGCCCACCTCTGAACTGCGGCTCTGTGAAGGTGAGGCATGTGTCCACGACGAAAAGCCACAAGTCACTCTACGGACAGACTAAACGAGGCAGATGGATACTGAGGCCAAGAAACTCTAATGGGACTCGGAGTACGGCTTGCGAGGACAACCACTCCTTGGTTCGCAGACGATTTTATTTTGCTCACTCCAACGACTAGAGAAAAATTCGGTTCTATCGACATTGATACGAGAATCTGTGGGCTGCATCCCCATGTATCAACGTATCAAGTTTTCCCACGGATTGACTGCGCTGGCATTGTTCTTGCTTGCAACCTGTATTTTGCTCTACATAGGATTGAGGCGCTCCCTTTGAGAAAATCCTGGTAATGTGACTTCCTGCCCCACCCATCGGTAAAATATCGTGATCTTCTTCAGCTAGGCTTAACCACTGTATTAAATTGGAAACAGAATTTATCTATCTATTTCTCCATTCAGATGAGGGTCGGAAAGTGTGTTGGAACTGTTCTAGGCCATGAGCTAACACACTGTCGGTGACTGAATGATAATAATTCAGTATTTTTTAAAAGTCTAATGTACGTTATAGATTTTTTTATATTTGACCGCAGACAATATAATTACTGGTAAAAAAGAATATCGTGAACGGGTTGTGTTCTTAAATGAAATTCAAACTTTAGTGATGTGATCGATGGTGCGTTGATCCACAGTGTTAGCTGTGCATCTGACATGATCCATAAACTTTTCTGTTATGCTGCTAGGCTATTGCTGTCCATGCGAAGACGATAATGGGAAATCAACTGGCCGTACAAGTCTGAACCTATACAAGATTTATTAATCACATAACTTCCCATCCATCATCCGCCCACGCACCAGATTGTTGGATCCTATAAATCATGATGACCGAATAATCGATTATGTAAGAATGTAAGAATCCCAAAACACATCATGTTTCAACTCTAATCCGGAAGAAACGGTCTAAATGTGTTGATTTTCTCATTTTATTCGGCACATTTCATTCTACTTCGCTTCACTGGATAGTCATAACAGGCTTTAAAATTTGCAAATTGCGGAGCTTGCTGTAATTTTACCATGTCATCTAGCTGGATTCGCTTTCATTGACAAATGTTTCTTTTTCTTAAAAAAGGTCCGAGGACAAGTGAGTTGAAATGGCCACAGTGCAATGCACGAACGGATGACTATTTCACCATATGCACCCGTTGGACTTCAATGCAGAAGTTATTTGTTCATCCAGTCATCATAAGCACGACTAAATTCCTGTGGGAAGGAGTTACCTTGCGTTTGGGTGATTGTGTTTAGTCGCTGGAGTCGTGTTCGCATGACCTGTGATAACCATGGAGGCTGTTTGTCTGTCTCTCTCTCTCTCTCTCTACTCGCTATATTGGACGTTTTAGTCTTCTTACAAAGAATCCCGAATATAGAATAATATTTGTTTGTATAGTTTTGGGAGAATTCAAGAGTGTCCACAATTTGTTCGATATTTGCGGTCGAACTTGGTATCTGCAAATTCAGGTGGAATACCATAGTATCGACGAATGACTGTTACAAGACAGACGTCAAAAGTAACAGCAATGACCATGCCCCTTGGATGAAAAAAAAACTGTGGCACCCGATTGATCACAGCCAACGGAATGAGAGACGACTGTTTAACGACTGCAACATTCTGATTAAAATGATGACTTTTTGCTGATAACTTGCCAACTGATGATCATGTCAAAGTATACCGATTCAGGCAAACTGTCTCAGATCATAATTCCACATACACGGTACAATTGATAAGGGTAAACAGTTTCAAGCCAGCTTATTGTTCCTCATTGCATATGCTATGAGGTGGATAGATAGAACCGGTGACGGATTTCACAGCTCCAGTGGAGTTAAAAATGTTCCGGGGCCATACTAGGCTTGCCAGCTAAAACAATTCAACCAAATCGGTCCTCGATGTGAGCACGCGAAATCAGCGTAAACACATGGTGATGGCACTTTCCTCATCGATTCTCTTCTTCTATCGTAAATTGAAGTAACCTAAATGATGCTGGCCTATTCACATATTGCATTCAGCTGATGAATGACAATCAGTAACCGGTGGCTGTATTTCTCACCTGGGTCGTGAAGTGGGTAGAAAGAACAGAGAAGACTTAGTCACGAACCGTATTACAAGTACGAATATCCTATCTAAATTATTCATCAAACAATTTATTTTGGAAACCATCAAAACAGTGTGCACCAAATGTGTTGGTGTTATTCACAAGGCAGTTTAGCCCTATTCAATGTCTGTCGTTTTCGCATCTTTTATTCGGAATAGTTCACACTGTGTATCTATTACCCCAAGTGGATATTTTCATTCCATTACCCGCATGTGCTTTACTCACCCAGCTGACCTCGAGGAAATTTGGTTGAACTGACCGCGCCGGATACTGGTCCCGAACCAGAGCCTTTGAACACCGGGGTCACATTGACTTCATAGTCCGCCAACAGTTTCGGATTCGAAGCCACTTCAGGGATTTCGTTCAGACGAATCTTATACGTTGTTGGTTCACCTGAAAAATGGCAATGTACGAGTGANATGATGATGATTAAGTTGTTGATGATGATGACGAAGATGATGATGATGATGATGATGATGATGAAGATTCGGATGAAGCTAATGCTGTTGAAGATAATGATGATGATGACGATGTTGATAATGCTGATGTTGACTCGGATGATGATGATCATTCTTATGATCATAATGATGACGGTCATGATTTTTATTATGATGATTCGGATGCCGACCATGATGATTATTCGGATGAAGATGATTATGATGATGATGATAATTTAGATGATTCTGATGATGATGACGATTCGGATGATGATTATGAGGATGATGAATATGATGATGGTGATTGGGATAATAATGATGATGATGATGCTGTTGATGATGATGATGATGATCATGATGATGATGATTCGGATGAAGATGATGATGATGATTATTCGGTAGATGATGATGATGATGGTGATTCGGATGAGTCGGATGATGCTGATGACGAATTGGATGATTCGGATGATACGGATGATGATGATGAAGATGATGACGATCATCATGGTGATGATGATAATGATTCGGTGATCATGATGAAGATTCCGATGATGATGCATGTGATGATTCCAATGATGATAATGATGATGATTTTGATGATGATGATGATGATGTTGACCATGATGATGATGATGTCGATGACGCTGATGATGATGTTAATTTAGATGATTCGCATGAAGATGATGATTCGGATGATGAAGATAATTAGGATGATGATGACTCGGATGATGATGATGATGATTTTATGATGATGTTGATGATTCGGTCGATGATGATGATACGAATGTTGACGATGATGAGGATGATGATGATGATGATGTGGATGTTGATGATGAAGGTGTTGATGATGATAATGATGATGATGAGGATGATGATGATGAGGTTGATGGTGTTGATGTTGATGATTAAGAATCGAATGAGGATGATTTTGATGTTGATGGTGACCACGATCATGACGATGATGATGAAGATGACGGTGATGATGAAGATGATGATGATGATCACGAAGATGATGATGACGATGATGATGACGATGAGGATCATGATGATGTTGATGATCGGGACGATGATCAATCTTTTGGTTTTGATGATTGGGATGACGATTACAATGATGATGATGGTGCTGTTGATGATGTCGATGATGATGGTGATGATTCGAATGACGGTGATTATGGTGGTGCTGACGATCATCATGATGAAGCTGATGATGATGATGATTCGGTTGACGGTGATGATGATGATGATGTTGATGATGATGATGATGATGATGTTTCCGTTGACGATGATGATGTTGATGTTGATGATGATGATCTTGCGGAATCGCATGATGATGATGATGATGATGATGTTTATGATTACGCTGATGATGATGTTTCGGATGATGATGATTATGATTACGACGGTGATGTTGATGTTCATGATGAAGGTGTTCTTGATGATTATGATGACGATGACGATTCGGATGAACATGAAGATGATGAGTGTGAGGATGATGTTGATGATGATGATGATGAAGATGATGATG